GGATTTGCATTAATAGAAAACTCAATTTTTCTTCTTTGGATGATTATTTTTTTGTGAAATCATGAAGCACACAGCACATGACCTCCCCTTTGCTGGTACATATACACTAGGCTATCCCATCCTATGAGCGCAAATATTTTTTCCAATTTGACTCTAAGAACTCAAAAAATAAATATTATTGGAATCAGGGAATGATAACCTGTACTGACTTTCAGGTAAACTTTGAATTTGAAAGTTTAATGTATGGATTGCAATTCTTATTCGACAAATAAAATACTGCTTTATTTGTAACATATTTCTTATATATCTATCATTAAAAGAACATTATTTACTAAATTTTCTTTTCAAAGCTTTCTTTTTACAGTTAGGACATACAGTAATGGACAAAAGTATATAGACAAATAATACGAATATTTACCTAAATACCTGTAGAAAACGAATTCATACTTCACTGCTCCATAAACAAATGCGTTATTAGTAGAAAAACTAATTTCCTTGTTTTTACATTATCTGCAATGAACACAATACGAGTCTGAATATAAGCACTTTTTTATGAGGGACAAAAATATGTAGACAAATTCTTTTCAACATTAGTTTAGTACAGTTTCGTGTCAGAAGAGGATTAGTTTGTGTTCATCAAGTATTGTGGAATAAGTTGATTGATTTTAAGACCATTCTGCATGGTCCAGAAATTTCTTTCGAAGTGAAAACTAAGATCATTGAGTTGTACAAAGATGGTCAACGTCAAGTCGACATTGCCAAAAATTTGAAGCTGAAGCGTAAAGCAGTTTGGGGAATATTGAACAAATATAAACAAAAAGGTATCTTGGAAGCCTCTAAGAGAAGTGGTTGGCCTAGCAAACTAAATGCTAGATCAGTTAGACTAATAAAAGTAATTTTGTCCAAAGATCCATTTAAAACCCCAAGACAAATAAAATCCGAAATTGAGACAAAAGGAATTGTCAGTGTTTCTACAAAAACTATAAGTAGAAGATTAAATGATTTGAAGTTATTTAATAATGGTTATGCTACAAAATATTAACACAAACATGGTTGGTTTTCTATAATTCAATGAACTTTTCTTCTTTTTTCTATAATTGTTTTTGCTTTGTCTAGGTATATATTTTTGTCCTTCATAGATAAAGTTTTTTCAATTAATTTTTTATTGAAGGGAGTCTAATGAATTTATTTATGTATAAGTGAGTATTAGCTATAACGAATTATATATACAGGTTGGTGTATTAATAAAACAAGTTAAAAAAGAAATACAGCACAATATTAATTTGTCTATAGACTTTTGTCCATTACTGTACATGCCTGTGCCTGTGGTATTGTACCCAACATAATAAAAATTCTGTACCTCAGAGCCAGACTATTTTGAGTCCTAATCAGTAGTTTTGAGATAATTGAATTTGAAATATTTTTCTTGTACTGTATTGTATGAGACTTGAAATAAGTTAAAAAGTTGTAACTTCCATATTACCTATTACAGATAGATATGTTAGATGCTGCAAGTAGCAAATGAAAATACACAATATTATCATAAGCTTAACATATATGACAAAAATGGACTTAACCTAGTCTGGCTCTGGGGTACAGAATTGTTTATGTTCCTCCTCAGCAGTGATTGTGCCATGAAAGTCTTGCAATAACTTGACTGCTGTTTCTGGCATATTGTTAACTGCTCTCAGTGTTTGCACCTTATTCTTAGTGTGTTGAAAAGAATCACTATGTGACCATGAAGTTGGACACTCATCAAGTCTTGTTTTGACCATCTGACCACAGACAGTCATGGACAGATGTTTTGCGCTTTTTGGCAACTCATCAGCATCGTCTAGGCTTGGCCTCAGGTCAGGACAATGAACAAAACCATAGCAACTTACCTCTTTCTGAGGTATAAGATCTATTGAAACAAGGCAATATAAGATGCCAGGATCACAGTTTAAGATGGCTTATTTTAACCATTATTATTATTATTATTATTATTATTATTATTATTATTATTATGATAATTGAGATGAGCAGAGTACACAGTACTATAAGCTCATGCAGTAAATATAGTGTACGGACACGTAACACAAATACATCAAATAGAAAAAAATAAAAAAAGACAGTTCATAGCTATAAAGTTTGTACACTCCTCCAGCTATCATACTGCACTTTGAAGCTATTAACTGAAGTAGCACCAACCACACTTTCAGGTAAACTATTCCAGGTGTTGAATATGCGGTTGGGAAGAAACCACTGTTGTTTTAAATGGCTCCTTATGCAGTTTGAAGCTGTGTCCGCGTACATTGCTGCGCGACAGACGGTATAGATGCATAAGGTTGGTGCCCATCAAACCATGAAGTATCCTGAACGTAACTATAAGATCGCCACGAAGTCTTCGCTCAGAGAATGAGGTCAGGTTGAATAATTCAAGGCAATCTTCATAGCTTGGTCTTCGTGCTCCAAAAGGGATACGAGTAGCCCGACGCTGTACTGATTCGACGAGATTTCTATCGCGCAGAAGCACAGTGTCCCATACCGGGCCAGCGAATTCAAGAATTGGCCTCACGAATGCCTTGTAAATATAGGCGCAAGTGTTGACATCGGATCCTTTGAAAGACCTCTCCAGCATGTATACAAGTTTCTTGGCTTTTGATGTAACGTGGTGAATATGCTCTGACCAGGAAAGACGATCGTTGACTACAACGCCCAGATCAGTGTGGCTGGAAACTGCTTCGATGTTGTGGTCAGAGATCTTGTATGTAAATCGCGGATTTGTCTTCCCGAGGTGAAGGACACAACACTTAGTTAGATTTAAGGGTAAAAACCAACTAACTGACCATTGACAAACAATATCAAGATCTCGTTGAAGCATAGCAGAATTTACGACAGTATTGTAAATCTTGGTGTCGTCGGCATAAGCTGAACATGTGGAGGAAATCAATGCGGTCAGCTCACTTGTATACAGAAGGAACAGCACTGGCCCCAAGACAGAGCCTTGAGGAACTCCACTTGCTACATGATGAAGGTGAGACTGGCTATCACTGACGCGCACAGAGAAAGTCCTCCCGGTGAGAAAAGCCTTAATCCACAGTAACAACTCGCCTCTTATTCCCATACATTCCAACTTAAACAGAAGCCTTCTATGTGGTACGCGATCGAAAGCCCTAGAAAAATCTAAGTAGATTATATCAACAGGAGTCTTTGTGTCCAGATACTGAGTCCAATCGTTGAGAGAGTGGAGAAGGTTGGTCATTATTGATCGACCAGGGAGAAATCCATGCTGATTCTTAGGGATAAGGTCATTTTCGAAAGCAAATGACAGGAGCTTATCTAATATGATTCTTTCAGCTATTTTGGCGGCGATAGGAACGAGACTTATTGGTCGATAATTTTTAGCGGAGGATTTGTCGCCCTTTTTGAATACAGGGGTAACAGAAGCACTAAGCCAGCATGAGGGTAGGGTATGAGATCTAAAAGACGATGTGAATATCAAGCTTAATGGTAGGGCCAGTGCTGAAGCGCAGTTTTTAAGTGCAGCAGCCGTCATCCCATCTTTATTGGCATATTATATAGAAAAAGTAAAAGAAGACAAAGAAAAATTTATTTGTCAGACTTACCATAAAGTGAGCCAGAAAATTCTTCTTTTGATGGGTTACCAAGGGTTGATGCACTTTCTTTGGCTAAACTAGGAACAATTTTTACTTTAGTTTCCTCATTTACGTTGTCGTCAAACACAGATAAGACAGAGACCTTTGTCAATTCTTTTGTAAGCCTTCAAAAAGCATAAATCCTGGTTAGGGGCTTTCACCGCTAAAGTGCATTGCAACCACGGTTTCGCGTATGTTGTCACGATGAACAAGCAGACATCTAACAAAGCTGCCTTATCCTTATTAGAAAGTTTAGCTGGGAACTTAGTAATGCTATTTTTAATCAATATATCGCTCTGGCCATCCATGGAGTTTGATGCTTCTTTGGTCAATTCATGTCGATAAAATCCTAGCTTGTCAGTCTCTGAAATATTCCGGCATGATAGCTTTTCAGTACTTGTAGACACTTGGTCGACCAATTAATGCAACCCGTAGTATCACAGCAGAGAATCAGACCTTTGTCTTAAAGATTCCAGTCAATAATAGCATCCCAACTTTTATCACGCTAAAATGGAAGTTCCTTGTACCTGTTTAGATAGTTGCAGTTTTGCGACCGTTATATTTCGCAGCAAAATTTATTCCGCCTCGCGGTAATTTTTCTTTCTGAATTAAGTCTTTCCTGATTTATCTAGCAAGCCTTGAAATGCGCAATGACCCACATTTACTATTTATTCTGCGATTATTTCATGCCCATAGCTGGCTAGATTAGTTGTGTTTTATCGGAAAACGCCTAACTGGAAGAATATTTGTTTATCTTATGTATTAATTACTTTTTGCTCACCACAGTGGTCTTTTTAAAAGTACAAATTAATGATGATGAAACTCCAGTAAAAAGTAATTCATACATACAGCACGGATTTATCGAAAATCACTGATTAAAAGAAAAAACGCCGAGACACGTCAAAAGATTTGTCAAAGGGGACAACTGTTCAACCAAAAACTACTTCATCCCCTCGGCCCTGGGAGTCATTTCCTTAAAAATTTTAAAAGACAAGTAGTATCGAGTAATAGCTTGTTTGAAAGGTCTTTCAAAGTCCTGTATTTTGACGTTTGATTTTATAAGATCAATCGATTCGTTTTCGAGAAAATTAGAAAAATCTTTAACCATCTTAATTTGTTCAGATAAGAAACAAAAACGCTCGAAAATATATCACTCTTTACTCTTTACACTGGCCCCGTAGAAAAAAGTCTAATGGCGTCAAATCAAGAGATCTAGCAGGCCATTCTATAGGCCCTCTTTGCCTTATCCATTTATCTGTATCCAGTATAGTCTGTATAAACTTAAGGTTATTGACATCAAATCTCCTATGAAAAGATCCAAAAGTATTCTTTAAACGTCCAGCCAATAAGGCAATTGATTCAATGCTTTTCCAGGTTTCCAAACTAGTGATTCTACATGAAGAAGCAGAAGATGGTATTCCTATGCCCGACTTGGAACAGCCTGTTAGGTCAGTCAGCAATGCCGTTTCCAACTTAGTCAAGGTAAGTTCATTATCAGTTTACATACTACAATACTTTAAAGTTATGTTTACATCCCACTGGTTCTCATTGACCAAGGAATGATTCACACGAGCTTAGTTGGTTAGTTGCCAAAGAAAATATAACAGATGTCATAAAAATTGTACAACAATATCACGGTTACCTGTTGGCAACAGATCTAGTCGTTCTATAAAAAGTATGATTTCAGATTTCATGTAAACAAGATTATGAGTATACAGGGAGTTGCCAATATATGTGGAGTTTTTTTTCATGCCCAGTTTCACAGGTACATCTTATTGCCAAATGTGCATTGCATTTCGGCTATTTAGTTTTCGTTAAAAAAACATTTGTAGGAAATATAGGATAATTCAAGTTCTGTTTAATGTTTATTAATCTCACGTTATACAATAACTCCATCTGAATGAGTGCAACGGTTGCCAAGTTTACGCTTAGATATAACAGAAAACCTATTGTAGAGCGCCATATGCTAAACCGACTTTTAAGTTTTGCATATAGAAACATAGTAGGCCGCGCGGATCGAACGTCAGTACTGAATCTTAATCTCACTCTTTAGTAAACTTAAATTCAAAGTTTCACAACAATACGTGCATGACATATCGCGAGATTGAAGCGTCCTTGAAGATCTCAAAGACCTCACTCAATTCAAAAAAATTTACATGTAGAACTAGGAGTAAGAAAATTAGTGTCTACAGTATATTCAGATAAGAGATATACCGAATGTAAACAAAAGGTTCGGGTGATTTTCACGCTAACGCCGCCGTCTCGATGTAAAACAGGAGCCCTCATTGGTCAATTCGCAATTAAATGCCTATGCCGAGCGGCAGAGCAGTCGTATCAAGGCAGAGTCACATTCAGGTTCAGACGTGTTACGTATGTCGTGTGCATCATTGCAATTTGATATTTCTTTGGACGTTTTCGTTTGTTATCTTATTAAGTTGTTGAGTTTGTCGTTGTTATTGTTATATCTTGTTATTGATTGTTATTGTTATCAACTGCTTGCGCAAAATGCCCAGTAGTACAGATACTGCCGATGAAGTTGTAAACTCCTGTAGTCCACCTAGGAAAAGCTCTAAAAAAAGACACCTGAGTGCAGAAATGAAAGAGGTCATTTTGAATATATATAAGATCGAGCGCGAGGAGAACGAGGCATCAACCATCAAAGAAATTGTTGTGAAGGTTTCTCACAAAGTTGGAGTGTGTCGCGCATCAGTGTTTAATGTGTTAAGACAATACAAAAAAAATCACACCTTTTCTGAGCCAATGACCAGTAAACATCGCAAAAGTATTGTTAAATCATTGGATGAAGCTGATAAGCATGCGATTAGGAGGAAAGTGCACGAATTCTTCTTTAGGAATGAAATACCTACTATAGATAAAGTACTGCAGGAGGTAAATGGAGATACAACGTTGCCAAATTTCAAACGATCAACTTTCCATGCGTTACTGAAGCATTTAAATTTCAAATGGAAAAAACGGGGTCGTAATAGTTTACTACTGGATAGAGAAGAAATTGTGCTATGGAGGAGGGATTATTTAACAAAAATTGGGAAAGATAGAAATCAAAACAGGGAGATTTATTACCTTGATGAAACGTGGGTAAACGCAGGACACACTACAAGTAAAGTATGGGTTGATGATTCTGTAACTTCATCCAGGAGGGCCTTTCTAGATGGACTGTCCACCGGATTAAAAAATCCAGGTAAATACGAGTAATAGACAACAATCGGATGTTTTTCAAACCTTGGGAACAAGGTTCTAAACATTAATTCCAGGGGGCAGATAAAACATATTACAAGTAACAAAACTTTTATAACTTTCGATAAAATGCGTGGATGTTTTATTGTCATTTTCATTTGTTAGAACTTTTTTAAGCCATGTTTTTATGTGTTTTCGATATTTCAATAATTTTTTAATATAATCTTAAAATATGTCGAATATTATAAACTTAAAAAAAGTTACTAAGTTTTATATTGTGTACCGTTCCTAATATTTCTAATCATTTTAATTCATACTTTAAGCTTTATAAAGTTATAATTTGTTAATATTAATATTTGCGCGTATTTCAGGTTCCTGATATTCATTTTTTAAAGGTTTATAACTTTAAATTAAATTGTGAAGCGCTGAGTAATCATACGACGTTCAATATTCTTTCTTTCAATATGACTAAATAATCCCAATTATAGCAATCTGATACTCATGTCTCAATGTTTTTTCGCTGAATGTGATGAAAACATTTGAAAAAGGTTCGCTTATTGAAATAAATCTACACCAGTTAGTACTTCGATTTCCAGGTAAAGGGAAAATGCTCATTATCTGCCATATTGGCAGTGAGGATGGATTTGTTGTTGACGGTCTGTGGTGCTTTGAGTCTAAGAAAACTGGAGATTACCACGAGGAAATGAATGGCGAATCGTTTGAACAGTGGTTTTCAAAAATTTTACCGAACTTAGAGGAAAACGCAGTAATTGTGTTGGATAATGCGCCTTATCATTCGCGAAGAATGGAGAAGGTCCCAACAACGGCTTCAAAGAAAGTTGATGTTCAAAATTGGCTCCGCTCGAAAAATATCAACTTTGAAGAAGCAATGCTGAAAGTACAATTATTAAGAATTGTCAAGGATCACAAGGCGGAATATCAAAAATACGCCATTGACGAAATGGCAGCAAGTCAAAATAAAACTGTGCTCCGTTTACCTCCATACCATTGCGAGCTCAATCCCATTGAGCTCATATGGGCAGAGGTTAAAAATTATATAGCTAAGCACAATACAACTTTTAAATTTTGTGACCTCAAAGGACTTTTCAAAGAAGCACTAGAATTAATAACAGCGCAAAAATGGGAAAACTGTATTAAGCACGTGAAAGACAAAGTTGAAAAGAGAATGTGGGAACTGGACAATATTTTAGAGGAACAAGTCGAGCCATTCATTATTGACGTTGGTGCTTCAGGTAGTAGCGATGATGAAAGCTCATCAAGCTCATATTTCCAATAAAAGATGTCGTTCATCAAATTCGGTAAGTTATAAGTAATTATAAAGCTACTGTATTTTTTAATTAATTATTGACATTTTTGAACCCATTTTGGCAAAACCCATTCAAGAATCTACTTTCTGACAATGTTCAACCATGCACATTTTTTTACGTTTTGAACGTTTTAATTTGGTTACATATTTACCTAGAAATCAAAAAATATACTAATCAATATTCTAAAAGCAATTTTAAGAGATATACGATTATTTTTAATTTAGGCTAATTTAAACGCCATTTTGAGATTATATTCGACTGTATTTCACCAAACATCAGACGGCATCCGAAGCTGGAAATCGAAGCGAAAATTTTGAAACTCTTATGTATATTTACATCATTATATATTTCTTACCCCACCCCCACATGATCCTATATCCATCACCAATCGTATACACATCGAATTGTGCTAATTTACTACAAAGTTACGCAAAGCAGCATCTACTATCTAAAATAGGTACTGCGTGACTCTTAATACGTCCCTGCCGAATGTTACAGCGTTCGATGATCACGTGGTCTTGTTTATGTCCGGTCTATCTCTTATCTGAATATACTGTAGTTGGATACCCCACCTGATGACTGAAGAGTAGAAAGCAGCCAGGGTTAATTGGTGTCAAAAAACGCTTCACCCTTTCAATTCCGAAAACTCAAAAAATGTGTACAGCATTGTTAGTGATGATGAATCGTGGATTTACTGTTATGAACTAGAAAATAAACGACAGTCGGCAGTTTGGGCGTTCCAAAGTAAAAAAGCCAACAAAAGTCATCCGTTCTCGAAGTGTTTCGAAAAAGATGGTCGCGACATTTGTGTCAAAAGCGGGTCATATTGCAACAATTCCTCTAATGAGCAAAGAACTGTTACTGCGGATTGGTTTACCAAAAGTCATCACCGAGCTTCGAAAAATCAACCCCGAAAGAAGAATCATCCTCCACCAAGACAATACAAGCTCGCACACAGCCCAAAAAACAGTATTTAACGGAAGAAAACGGAATTATTGGACCATCCTCCATATAGTCCCGATCTAAGTCCTAACGATTTCTTTACTTTCCCGAAAATTAAAAACAGACTGCGTGGTCGAAGGTTCCAGTCACCAGAAGAAGCAGTTGACGCATTCAAAAATGCCGTTTTGGATCTGCCAGCAAACGAGTGGAATAAGTGCTTCGAAAATTGGTTCGAGCGCATGCAGATGTGTATTAATCTTATAAATAAAGTCATTTAAAACTACCTACAGTGTTGTTTTATTACCATATGCAAAACTTAAAAGACATCCCTCGTACACTAGGGCTTTGACCTACTGCACCACAAATACAACAAGATATCATTTTACGAAAGGTCAAATAAAAATTATGGGATAGGCTTTGCAAAATGTCAACTCATCGCCCAAAAGTATACTTTAATGCTGCATGAAATGTACGATATGGTGCATACTGTGACCTTAAAAGAATTGTTTGATTTTATTCTGACTTACATGTTTACCCACACTAATAGTGATCAACATTAGTGGTAATGCTAATCATGATTGAAGGGTAATTGACTTTTTCTTGCTTTTAGAAACGATCTCTGAGTTTGTGTAGTTTTCATTCGCGATCATTTAACAGAAGCCTATTTTCATAATATAAGCATAACGATACAAGTGTCACAGATTTGAACCGCAAACAAAAATCGCTTGAGTAAGAATTGGTAACTTGAAAATCGTTATAAAGATGAGAAGTTTTGAAATTGGTCTCATAAATTTCTAATCTTCTTTTCGTCATTTATCTCTCCTCAGAATTCACTGAATATGTGTAGAAGTTACTGAGATTGAGCAGCTAGAAAGACGCTAATACTCGGTGAATGGTAGCATTTTTTCTAGACGCATACACGCCAATATGTCAGACATTTTTTCGATTCCAAATATTTAGAACACCGTTTTTATCATTAAAAGTATAAGAAAAATTACCTCAAGTAGGGTAGTAATG